AAAAAAAAAAAAAAAAGAGAGAGAGAAGAAACAAGGGAATTGTTGTAGACTAAAGGTGACAAAAGAATAAACCATGAAAACTAAATCCAATATGTGATTCTGGGTTGGATTCAGGACCAGAAAAAAATATTTTTATTTTACTATAAATATTAGTGAGACAACTGGCAAAAACTGGGTAATATCTGTAGATCAAATAAGATCACTGTATCAGTGTTAACTTAATCACTGTATAATACAATCACAGTTATATAAAAACAATACCCTTATTTCTCTGTGTCCTTATTACTCTCAAATGTTTCAGATAAAATACAGAAAGACAGAAAAAGAAAAGGACAAAGAAATACAGTATTTGCTTAACATTGAAGGAATCTGAGCAAAGCATATAAACGAATTTTTTGTGTAACTTTTCTGCAGGTCTGAAATACTTTAGAAACTTAAATATATAAATAAAATGATAGACTCAGGCAGCACATTTACACAGAAAATCTACTTATCAAGAAAAGAATAAGCAAGAAATCTACTGTGTGTTTTAAAGCTTATTCAGTTTGGTCCAGTTACCTGATTACAATCCAGCATGCTTCCTGCCACAGATCCGGGGTGATTTCATCATCATCCTCATCATATTGCATGTCTGCAATAACAAAAACATTGTACTCATTTGCAGTTAAGACGCCTCTAGTGAACATCTTGCTCCAACAACTTGAAGTAGCAGAAACATATTTACTCTCTGCTGAACAAAATGTAATTCTTTTTACCTAAAATTTCTAAATTTCCAGTCAATTACACTGGAAATAACATATGTGTATGTTACATAGGTATTGTCCCAATATGCAGTGGTTTTATGACAAAGGTTCAGTATCTCGTATGGATTTTGAGTGTTCCATCATCCCCAGAAATTCCATACAATGCTCTTGTTAATCGTAATAACTAGGTGCAGTCTCATAGTCCTCTGATCAATAAGATCCTCAGAAACTGGAGTCAAGGATCAGGGTAAGAGGCAGAGCCAGAAAAGGGTTCCAACAGCTGGGCAATAAATACCCTAAGGTGGAGAAGTCTATTACAGCAACATTTCGTAAATGTACAAGTATGACAAACTGTATTTTCCAAAGATGACCACAACCCTATCTCCCATCCAACTCCTATCAAACAGGGTAAGAGTGTCAAGGTGATTCTGACACTACTATCATCAAGATATAGCAGTCTACACATCCTCTCCTACAATCCAGATGGATTTTCAACTCTCTCATAACTATGAGAATCCAGCTGAAAGCAACGCCGCATGATTTCAGAAGCCATGTCAGAAAAGACAATGCAGTTTCAGCCTGGTTTGCTCAAAATTTGCTTCTGGGGCCCTGAGGTGCAATTATTAATTAAACTCCTCTACTCTGAGGCTGCTGTCCTGTGAGGAAAACCAAACTGTAGGAGAGGCCACTTGCAGGTGTTCCCTCAGTAATCCTACTGAGCCCTTCCAGGCGCGGTGCCAGACCTGAGCGTCAACACTCCAGGTCATCCAGCCCCAGCTGTCAAGTCAACACCCAGCCTTAGGGGGCAGAAATAAGTCATGCCTACTTTGAGCTGTCCAAATTCCTGACCCACGAATATAACGAAATTTGGGAGGCTCTTTCCTTTAACAAAATTATTTAAGCAGCTAAATTTTAGGGTACTATGCAACAGGAATTTTTTTGAGACAGAGTCTCACTTTGTCGCCCTCGGTAGAGTGCCGTGGC